TTGCACCAGTAATTTTATTATTAAACTCTGTTTTATTTGTGAGTCTGCTCAAACCTTAGACCAGGCTTTAATCTGAAAATCATGTGCTTTTCAATTCATGAGGGAGTTAAATGCTCTCCTTCAAATATCAAATGCTTCTCAGTAAATTTCGATTTTTTTCAGGTGGTTCAGATTCAAATTTTAAGATTTTGTTTACCGGTAACAAATTGGCAACTTACGTGTGGGCTTCTTGTCATTTTAACGATTTTTAGCTTCTTTAACGCAGTCATTTCCGGTGATAACAAACTGGGGGTCCAGAATGTGGGGTTGCTAGGCAATGTACTCTCCAGTATCGTACTTAAATTATCTGACCTCATTCTGTTTGTCGATTGCGTAACTTTGAGGTAACTCGGTAATGAAGCCCGTAGAGGAGATCGTTAGTTGAATTATTTTTATCCACCGCACTTCCAGTGAATGGTCTCTCTGATCCAAGACCTAACTGCTCCACATTAAGACCTTTTCTGTGCCAAGTTGTTTATGTGTAGTGATTTTAAGTAAGAAACGAGAAATTAGGTGCTATTGACGTTATTTTCAATTCTGCGCAACATAATGCAGGTATATTAAAAGTAAAATAACATTAATCCGATAATACGGGGTTAGGAATGTATGCTGGATGCATGCGTGTATTGTGCACGCGGAGATCGGAGGTGTCTAGACGTAGCTTGAGTCTGGTCCAGTTGCGCCGCAAGCCAATGCACCACCAGACGGTTTCTGTGGCGACCCGCCATAGGGGCAAGTGCGGGGTGATGTGCCCGTCCTCTGATCAATATTAATGACGTAGTAGGTGTTGGAGCCGTCGGTGTACGTTGAGTGGGGTTCGAACTCAAGCTGCTCTGAATAACCCTTGTTTTTTACTTCGTTGGCCGCGGTGGTTGCTGTATTGGTTGTGGAAGTTGGGAGAAGAATTACAGAGGGAGTCTGGGGGGAGAGTTGGCGACTTCCACATTGAGTTGGACCTAACAGTGTACACCGAGGTATAGGGAGGGTTTGCGAAAAATCCTACCACCTTTTGATCTACTCAAAGTTTGTGTCACCTGTTGGCATGATCAGATTTACTACTTATCCTTGAATAATGTTACTTTAGTAATCAAAACGCAATTTAGCCTAATAGTTAGCTGCATTTTCCTGCAAAAAAATCGTCCAGAGACTGTTCCAGGTATATTACAGTTTAAGTCTAATTTAAAGACTTTTCCCACTTTCAACTACTTGGCACAAATAAGTGACAAATTCGAGACAGCCGAAATCGTCTTCTTGTGTCAAAAATAAGGAAATGACTTCCAGGATGTTGTAGTTTAGTAGAACAGCAACTGATTGTCATGACAATCAATCCCATGGCTCCGTGGACACATTTGGGCAAGGAAGCAGAGAAACTAGTAAACAGCAGAGCTCAACAGATTATTTCGTCAATGAATGTCTTGCCGCGCTGAACCGTTGCTGTGTGTTGGTACACATACAAATGTGATGTGCAACTGACGGTGAAACCAGTGATTATAAGCCAGAGACACCAAGCAATTTAACTCAACAAAGTTCACTCACGTCTCACGCAGGCAGGCTGATCACTGCAGCATAATTATAATGAAAATTATGTGTTGAAGTATCACTGGATAGCCTATACTAGAGTTAGAGTTACTGACAAATAATCACTAACGCCTGACACTATTCAGTCTCGTTAGAAATTTGCCATCTGTTCAATTACTTGCAAACACGAACGATTAAAATTGGTCGATTGAAACCCCAATGAAATCAGGTGGCCAGAGCAGGCTTATTTGATTGGTTGGCCTTATTGGCTTAACACTATATTGTACGTCGGCCTCTGTACCTTGTTCTGGTAATTAGGCCACATGGAAAGAGACGTACTTTTGTAGGACTTTTGGGTGAAGAGCATTCCGGAGACCTTTGAAGCAAACGACCTTCCTCCCTTTTGCAGATTGGGCAAGGCCTAAGGCATCATAAAATCAAGCATTACTTATCAAGTGGAAATGTAAAACAATGCTAATTGGTTCAACTCACCACCATGGCGTTGTTGGGCATTGGTCGTCGAAGGGACAGCGTCGAGCTTGTCGGACGGGAGGTGATCAGGTGCCAAGGACCAAGCGTAGGAGGACTGCCGGGTTCACCAGAGGCCCCCACTCCACCGACTGTAGACGTCTTCACCAAGGCCGTTGGTTGCATATAGGTGTTCAGTGTGCCATTGGTGTCAACCACTAAAAGCCATACCGATGTTTGTGTTTGCTAACATCTCTACTGATATACATAAGTAAGATCAACCTAAAATTACTTAAACGGAATTTCCAGTTTTAAGACACCCCTTTGTGTAACATTTTGTTTGGAATATTTCGACAACAAGTAAATCTAAATGCCTTCTAACTGGACTACTGTATATTAACGAAAAAGAACACGGGCTTGATATTTCAGCAAAACATTTTAAGGTCCAGCCAAATATCAACAAACACGGCATCAGTTAACAGAGTCTACGGGAGTTAATCACAGTAAATCACTGAATAGAACTGAGGACTGTAGGCTCCTGCCCCATGCAGAATCAAGTCTATACGGGACGATAGCTGTTGTACATAATGTTTGGCGCTTGGTATTCAATTGCTGCTTTAAAATGACAGGAAGAGACTGACATGTTTCCTAAAACAATCTCTAGAGCCCTTATAGGACCTAAAACCAGGTAGTCCGGCTAACTCTTTGTGGTTAGGCTGCAGGAAAAAGAAATGTGTTTAGGGACAATATTTTGAGGTTGCCTGGTAAATCAAGATTTACACCCGACTTCCGCACAAACATCCCGCTACAGATCTCCCATCTTGCGCACGGAAGTGTCTCATTGTCTCAATGAGGAATGCCGCCAAACCAATGCCCCATCGGGCAAACAAACTCGTTAAAAAAATTTACGCTTGTAGGCAGATGAGTGAACTCCTTAGTCTAGAGAAAGTTGTGTTTGCTGTTCAGCAGGTGTGTCTAATACCATGGAAAGTTGTATTTCTCACTCGTAGCCCACTTCCGACAATAAGTACACTTCTGGCAAGTTAACTGACACCAAAGTGGTTCCAGGCTACATTCTACAGTTTGTTAGAAACGGAACCAGTGATAGATAAAAACAGAATTAACACAGCGAAGAGAGAATTTTCATAAGATTAAATAAACAATCCTTTCATCCTTGAAAATTACTTCACTTTTCAATCCCTTAAGTATTTTCCTTCGCTTTTTTTCCTACTTGTTGGACATAATTAGAAAATTCCTCAAGTGGAAATGCACGTAGCGTGAACATTCCGACGACCGGGTACTGATCCACTGACCACATCGCATTTTGACAAGTTTTGACTACGAAACGAACCAAATTATGCTTAGAGCTTTTCAAAATTGAGGCATGAAAATTCACCTCCTACTGTTACAGGTTGTGGTGACATCCTTCTTCCACATGTATCAAAATCCAAAGTGTGGAATTAACCGATTTATTAGGTGCAACTAAAGTCTAAAAGATCATTTTCATGCTAAAACACACGAAGTAAATAGTGACCTAATCGGGAACATTTGAAAATGTAAAACGACTCTTGTGTGAAAATTCACCTTTGGTAGAACAGAACTTGTTTGCAAACAGTCACCGCACATTTCTTAAGTTAGACACAACTTACGCCATTGTTCTTCATGTTGTCTGACTAATCCCTAAATTAGATTAGAGTCCATCAAATTCGCTCAGCTCACTTCCAATGACTCCAGCTCAGAAAAACAGATTTCCATTGAGTCATATAGAAAATTTTGCTGGTTTCTCAGTTAGTAGTAGTAGTATTTGACGATTAGAAAAGAGTTAAATTCTGAATGCCCTCAGGAGAAACAAACAAATAAAATGCACAACCTTATGTCAAATTTATTGCCTGATTCTGCATCCTAACGTCATGGGAGTGGATGCAGTGGCGACTAAATAAATTGTACACAGAATATTATCAAATCATAACACACATAGCCTACAAACAGGGATTTTTGTCCCTAAACTTAAGCAGTGTAGATCACCGTCATGGGATGGTATAAGAAAACCAGAAAGCTGTAGGACTACGATTGCCTGTGGCCATCTGATCAAGCATCGTTTCCCATTTAGGCGAGTTGAAAAGGCACCGATTAAGAGTCCGTCATTGTATGAAGCACCTTCGTGGTTACTTGATCTGGTACGTTTTAGTGACATGGTAATAAAGCGAGCCTTCCTTTGTCCCGGCCTAGATAAATATTTCCGTAGCTTTGGTAGCCTCAGCGGATCACGTTTCAGGTACAATCTAATTATAATGACAATCGTAGCAGTATTTTAAATCTTCAATATTTGGCAATCTTAAAGTTGTACCAAAAGAATGTTATTAATCAGAGTTTGTTGAGAAATTAACTCAAAAATGGGAAATATCCCGAAATCTCTTGATTGAAACGGAGTTGTTGAGATTATTGGTTTAATGTCAACCAGGCCTAATAGGAGGTCTACTGGATCCCTGAGTGCTGGCCAATAGGACAATTCAATGAACTACTCTCAGATGATTTATTTGAGTGAAAATCTACCAAGCGGAAAGGTACTGAATTCTGCTTTTGTTTCGTTTATGTAACAATTTTTCTGCATGATGATTGGCTAACGCAACATGAACTCAATCACTCAGAACAGATGGCACACCATCTCGCCACTTTAACTAAACAATGGAACTGGCGAAAAAAACAAGTGACAGTGGCAGCCAATGACTGGGGTTTTCCATTGTGAAAAATTAAGCGCACAAGTCAGTACAGGATAAAAGTATGCTAATAATACTACAATGCCTAGATGTGTTATCGGGCTTCAATTTTAGCTGAATAAATTCTTGGGCGAATGCTTAAAAATTTGCTCCTGGGTTCTTGTGAGCAAGATCAGCTAGCTAATTTCTGGACCTCTGAAATCCAGTGGTCGAAGGCTTATGGTAGTTAGACTTGATTTATCGATTCCTTATCTTAGTTCTACGAATAAGTGAAGCAAAGAAAAGTCAATTGACACAACTGGGCAATCGATTGGTCAGCCTATGGCGTTGGCCTACCACTGGTCCCAGCACAAGGGTGAGTCAGTCCAGGTTTTGTTTACTGAATCACCCTCCGCTAAAAAAGTGTTAGAAATATTCGAGGTTTGGGTTGAAAAAAGGCTCAAGTGTAGGGACAAGATTTGGGGCGCAGAAGGGTACAGGGTTAACAACGTACCGGTGCCATAAAAGCGGTTTAGGTTGCTGCAGGAAGATAACATCAGAACATAAGGCTAACCCTGGTTAGGTGGATCTGATAGCAGGATGGAAGAAGCCTTGTTTAAAACTGTTGTACGAGTTAGAGGCAAAAATTTTGTGCAATTCCAATAACGAATGTCCATGCAAGCATGGACTTGGCAGCAAGGGATGTCGCGGAAAGTGTCTCAAGAATTTGCCACCACACAGACTTAGTGAATAACACCCAGCTAGTCGTTGAAAGGCACGATGTCGGTGGGATTGGTGGCTGGGTTATTGCGATTTCCGTAGGAGTACTTGGTGATCCAGTTAGACAAGATGCCAGTATCAGATATAGTGTGGAAAAAAATTCTAGCTGCTTCGTGGAATTCAAAGGCGATTCTGTACTTCCAACTTTTTTCAGCTGGTCATGGTGCTAAATTCAGCATCTGCGGTCAACAGCCTCAACGAATGAAGAGCACTTCGATTACATCGGCTAGGAGACCATAAACAAATTTAAAACTACATCTGGACACAAGTTTATTACCATCTAAGACCATTAAATTTAGTAGTGGTAAGTAGTTCATTTGTAGGGTATCGGTAGTGCTGACAGAAATACGAACTGTCTAATTCACTCTGTTTTTTTGTTGTCTTTTTCATTTAGTTTAAGCTGACCAGTCGCCACAAGCCAAACTAGTTTTCCATCCAACAGCCTCTCAGCACAAACAGACACGAAGGCCATCACCAATGCAGCTCTAGTGAATACTTTGTTGACAATTAGTAATTTCATAGGCCAAAGAATCAAGACTGGGCTACTGCTCAGCAGGCAAAGGCAATAGTGGTTTGTATTCACCAATCTCAAAGCAAGTGCGCTACTATCTTTTCCCACGCTCCAGTTCGGACCCGTGGGTTCGAAACACCCTTTTCCCAGATCGATTTGAGATACTCAAACAATACTACTTTGATTTATTCTAATCGGAGTAAAAAGTGTCCTTGAATTTATGACGTGAATAGCTTGAGAAGTAGAAAGAGTTGGTCCTCAGAGCGCATAACTATACACTTTCTCTAAATCTGTGTACATTTTGCCTTTGCAATTCCAACATAATGCTCTACTGTCAATAGTTGAATAAGTGTAAAGGACATGACTAGTAGAAAAATGAACAAATTCAAAGCCGCAGTAAACTTCTCAGGAAAAACGCTCTACTAGACATTTGCTCTGAGGCAAAATTAAAGACTAAGGGCATGATTTGGGATTTAATGCTGACACTTCTGCAACCGTTTTTGGCCACCCATTACTGCGTTGAAATACGTCTAACCAGTATTTTCCCAAAACAGACAACGATAAACGACCACTGCAACCGCTTTTATAGCCAACGTTTGGACCATAATTACAGCGCCTTGCAATTTTACCACTACCAAATGATAGATGCTAACAGCCACCTACATTCCCCGTATCACCCGTTTCAAAAGTGGCATGTTAACAGCCCAGTTTTAAATATGAAAAACCGAAACTGAACTGCATTTTTTGCAGCCAAAGTTATCGTTAATTAACGCGAGTAAATGTGCTATTTTTACGTCCCAACCAGTCCTTACTGAACCCGGATGTCAATTAACTTTGAAATGTTGGATGATTCTCTAGCTGCCAAAGTCTGCTGGCTTTACTTCTGCGGTTGGAAGCGTGGGGAATAGTGTTATTGCACATCCTCAACCCTGGCCTATTCATTTCCTGCGCACTTTACCAGCCAACTCACAACTGCGTAATCAAGCAGCCGCATGCACTTTATCCCACCTTCTCTGTCGCTTGTCTTCCATCACCTAAGACACTGATTCCTTTGTGCACATCCACGGCGGGCCATTTGAACGCGTTAACTTCTAGTATTTGTGTGTCATACTAGGGTCTCAATAAATCGGTTGTCCCGATAAGGACTTGAGTTTTTGTTTCAGGTCTTCAACAAAAAGCTGCAGGAGATATTGGCAGGC